GGGAGGGGCAGAGGGAGAGGGAGAGAAGAACTCAAGCAGACTCCACGCTTAGCACAGAGCCCAACACAGGGTTGATCCCACAACCCTGAGATTATGACCTGAGCCGAATCCAAGAGTCAGGTGCTTGATTGACTGCGCCACCCAGGTGCCCCTCACCTTATGTTTTGTTTTTGTTTTTTTTTTACATATTCACCTCCATGTTTTTTGCAGCATTACTTACAATAACAAAGATACAGAAATAAGCTAAGTGTCCACCGATGGATGAATGGACAAGGAAGATATGGTACATAAACACAATGACACATTATTCAGCCATAAAAAGAGAACCACATCTTGGCATTTGCAACAACACAGATGGACCTTGAGGGCAAAATGCTGGTTGAAGTAAGTCAGAGTAAGGCAAATACCATATGATCCCATTCATATATGGAATCTAAAATAACAAAACCCAAAAAGCCAAGTTCATAGAGTGAAGAGATTGGTGGAGATGTAGGGGTGAAGGTGAGTGAAATAGGTGAAAGGGTCAAAAAGTACAGACTTTCAATCATAAAATAAATGAGTCATGGGATGTAATATACAGCATAGTGACTACAGTTAATAATACTATATTACATATGTGCAAGTTGATAAGAGAATAGATCTTAAAAATTCTCATCACTAGAAAGAATTTAAGCAAACTATGGAAAGTGACAGATGTTAATGAGACTTACTGTAGTGATTATTTCACAATATATATAACTATCAAATTGTTATGTTACACACCTGAAATATAATGTTATATGTCAATTATACCCCAATTTAAAAAACTACAATGGGCACTGTGCTTTTTTCCCTTCAATTTATTTTAATTAATTAATTAACTTTAAGTTTTTATTTAGATTCTAGTTAGTTAACATATAGCATACATATAGCGTATTGGTTTCAGGAGTAGAACTTAGTATATAACTTAATATATATAAAGCTTACATATAACACCCAGTGTTCATCAAAACATGTGCTCTTCTTAATACCCATCATCCCCTAAGCCCATCCCCCACCCACCTCCCCTCCAGCAACCCTCAGTTTGTTCTCTATAGTTAAGTCTTTTATGGTTTGCCTCCCTCTCTCTTTTTACCCCTTCCCCTATGTTCATCTGTTTTGTTTCTTAAATTCCACATATGAGTGAAATCATATCACATTTGTCTTTCTTTGACTGACTTACCTTGCCTAGCATAATAAACTCTAGTTCTATCCATGTCACCAAAAATGGCAAGATCTCATTCACATCCCCCCTATCCACCCATCAGTCAATGGATGTCTGAGCTCTTTCCATAATTTGGCTATTGTTGATAATGCTGCCATAGACATCAGGGGGCATGTGCCCCTTCAAATCAGTATTTTGGTATCCTTTGGGTAAACACCTAGCAGTGCAATTGCTGGGTCATAGGGTAGCTCTCTTTTTCACCTTTAGAGGAACCTCCATACTGTTTTCTAGAGTGGCTGCAGCAGTTTGCATTCCCATCAACAGTGTAAGAGGGTTCCCCTTTCTCCAGATCCTCACCAACATCTGTTGTTTCCTGTGTTGTTAATTTTAGCTGTTCTGATGGGTGTGAAGTGGTATCTCATTGTGATTTTGATTTATATTTCCCTGATGATGAATGATGTTGAGCATCTTTTCATGTCTCTTAATCAACTGGACGTCTTTGGAAAAATGTCTGTTCATGTCTTATGCCCATTTTTTAAATTGGATTATTTGTTTTTTGGGTGTTGTGTTATATCAGTTCTTTATAGATTTTGGATACTAACCCTTTATCAGATATGTCACTTGCAAATATTTTCTCCCATTCTGTAGGTTGCCTTTTAGTTTGTTGATTGTTTCCTTCACTGTGCAGAAGTTTTTCATCTTGACAAAATCCCAATAGTTAATTTTTGTTTTTGTTTCCCTTACCTCAGGAGATGCGTCTACTAAGAAGTTGCTTCGCCCGATGTCAGAGAGGTTGCTGCCTGTGTTCTCCTCTAGGGTTTTGATGGTTTCCTGTCTCACAGTTAGGCCTTTCATCCATTTTGAATTTATTGTTGTGTATGGTGTAAGAAAGTGGTCCAGTTTCATTCCTCTGCATGTTGCTGTCCAGGTTTCCCAACACCATTTGTTGAACATACTGTCTTTCTTCCATTGGATATTCTTCCCTGCTTTGTCAAAGATTAGTTAACCATACAGTTGTGGGTTCATTTCTGAGTTTTCTATTCTGTTCCATTGATTTATGTGTTTTTGTGCCAGTACCATATTGTCTTGATGATTACAGTTTGTAATAGAGTTTGAAGTCTGAAATTGTGATGCTTCCAGTGTTGCTTTTCTTTTTCATTGCTTTGCCTATTCAGAGTCTTTTGTGGTTCCATAAAATGTTTAGGATTGGTTGCTCTAGCTGTGTGAAAAATGCTGTTGGTATTTTGATAGGGAATGCATTAAATGTGTAGATTGCTTTTGGCAGTGTATAGATATTTTAACAATATTTGTTCTTCCAATCCATGCGCATGGAATGTTTTTCCTTTTTTTGTGTCATCTTCAATTTATTTCATAACTGTTCTAAATTTTTCAGAGTACAGATCTTTTACCTTTTTGGTTAGGTTTATTTGTTTTAACCTTATTATGCTACCTCCAAATTACAATTTAACTCCAAAAATAAACTAAAAATGGGCCAACCTTTAGTTTTAAGAGAGCCTGACTTATATCTGCTCCATAGCTCTTTAAAGAGACTCTTCCACCCATGTGGAAGAGACATTTAAATACCAAGGAGTATTTAAATGCTCAGTCGGTTAAGCATCTGCCTTGAGCTCAGGTCATGATCCCAGAATCCTGGGATTGAGTCCTTCGTCGGGCTCCCTGGCCCACAGGTGTCTGCTTCTCCCTCTGCCACTCCTCTCACTTGGTCTCTCAATCTCTCTCTCTCTCAAATAAATAACTAAAATCTTTAAAAAAATAAATATCAAGGAGTCTAGTTGGGAGAGCTTATTTTTTCCCTCTTTTATGTATGGGATCTGCACAACCAGATTACCCCATCCTCAGTCTGACCAGGAGTGAATCCTATGTAATCCATATAAGTGGAATTACTAGCTCTACACTTCCTAGGGCACTATCCTGTTTTCAGCAGAAAACCCAGAAAAATTTAATCTATACAAAAACATTCCAATATTTAACAAAGCTACATCAGAATGTCAAACTGAAGCATAAATATAAAATAAAAAGTAACATATTATTCAACTCTTCTCATTTTCAAAATACACAATATCTAGTCCAGTCAAATATACTATTAGTTGTCCTAAGCTAGTGAAAGAATATCGTAGCATCACCATTGCCACTGGACAAGATTCTTAATCCTGTGATATTATTTCCATTTCTAATTGTCCTTCATTCCATTCTTACTGTTATTATTCTAGCTTAAGTTTTACACTTGAAATAGCTTCTAAGAATCTCTGAAAATCTTCTCTGTGGATTTTTTTTTATGTTGTAGACTTTATAGTTTATAAAGCACTTTCAACATATTTTTTTTTTAGATTTTATATCAACTCTGTGAGGTAGACATTACTACCTAAATTTTATGGATGAGGATGTTTCTGAGAGATTTAGTATTAATAAAATTAAATACACAGCTTGAAAGGTAGAGAACCTGGGACTGGAACCCAGTTCTTCTTTCTCTGAAGCTGGTCCACTTTCTGTTATATCACCAGTACCTCTCCTCTGGCAGGCTGTTAGTCCAGTGTTCTATTTATGTTTACACTATTGATAAAGGACTCCCCACATCTCTCTGTCTTGGCTTTTCCACATGCTAGCTGTGCAAACTTTTGCAAGTAACTTATGAGTGATAAATCCCTATTTTATGATGAGGAAACAGGAGCAAAGAATTAGACTAAACTGTATGAAATCATTGCTATTTGACCAACATTGACCTACAAAAATGACAATTTCAAATGATTTAACTTAATAAAATATTTTTAATCATTATTACCAATCCATTTAATGTAAGAAGTTCAACACCATCTGTACCATGTTTTAGAGTAATCCAGATGACAATATTCCCATACGTGAAATTCAAAGAAAATATAATTTTAGTTTTTTAGGGTGGAAAAATATGGATTTTAAATCTTTTATGGTTATTATTGACCAATACGGCCAAAGTACATATTTCAAAGTTTCAGTCCTTAGAAATAATCTTATGCATGTTTACTATAAAACAATCAAAATTCTTATGTGTGCAGGCTCCTTCTTTATTTTTTCTTATTCTTTTCCTTCTATCTTTTAGTAAGAGCTGCTTATGAAAGAGGTCAATTTGAGCAAGTTATTCCTTACTGGGAAAAAAGACCTGAAAAAATACAAATGATGATTGATTCCCCACTGTTTCAGTTATTGTTGTTAGTTTTACCAAGATACAAGAAAATATTTTTTCCTTTAACACTTGTATAACAGTTGTTTCCAAAATTCCAGTCTTTAGAATATAAGTTAGTCACTGATGATTGTATCTCAAGGGATTTCTCCTTAGCAACCAAGTTTTAGTTTCTATTTTGTTAATGTAATATACAGTACAATGTATGCATTTTCTGACTTGCGTTAATATAGCATATTTTAATGGAATACATATAGGAAGTAATTGCCAGTTTGTGAAATGTGACCATTTTAATCCTTAGCTAATATCTTTTCCAATTCATTGTCCATTTAAATACCATGCCTCATGAAAATATTTAATGTTGCACAACCATTGAACCCTTTTAGAACTGAGGATCAGCTAGAAATTAGGTATTCATTAATCAGTTTATAACTTCCCTCATAGATTTAATGCATTAATAGACCTGAATTATTTTGTCTTCTGACAGGAAATAGAAAATTTTGTTTTAAAAATGCCACAAACAAAACACAAATACCTCAATATTTTGTTGAAAATTCAATGTGGGTGCCTATACAGTGGTGTGAGAAGGGTTTAAGAGTGTTATTTTTTCAGTTTTATAAGGAATCAGCCAACTGATCTTACCTGATCATGTATAGGGCTTGATCCCCCATGGCACAGTTCATTTCCAGTGTTTGTAGAAATTGATTCACTTCCTGTGATGGTTTGGATTTGTTGGCTAGAATGGGACTGTTGACAGTGTGGAGAGTGGATGATCTGGGGCTGTTGGACAATGTGATGATGGCACTGGACCTGTGGATAGCATTCCTAAAACACACATAAATGTCAAAATAGCCTGTGAGAATAAAAATTACTAATTGAGAAAAGCCCAATGAATGCATTTTTAAAAATTCAATGTGTTCTTTCACAAGGTAATTCAATCCCTAAGATTTGTAGTTTTAATATATGATATATTATTTTTTTCAAATTATTTCATTGGGAGGAATTGTATTGAATTCTATTTTTGTTTGATCAGGTGGCTGTGACCATCCAAATACTTACCTAAATTGGCCAGTGAATTGCATGTTCTGATTAAATTAATATTCCAGTTATACTTAACACTAAAACTATAATGAATATTAATATTAATTACTCTTTGATGATTCAACAAGCACTTCAGCATCTAACTTTATAATAATACTATCATACTGAAGATGTAGATGGATATAAAAATGGAAAATAATATAATGCAGTGATTTTCAATATCAGGAAGCATATTAGAATCACAGTGGGGGCAGACAAAATTCTTATGCTTATGAAAATCAAGCACAAATTAAAAGATTGGAAAACAGTAACTAAAGCTTCAGATCCAGAAAACAGGGATTCTAACTGATTCTACCACTTACTCTGTGATCTTGGGGAACTATGCAATCTTTATGAGCCTCAGTTTACTCATTTTCAAAAATGGAGATAATATGTGTCTCTTTGGGTTGTTATGAGGAGTAAATAAACTAATGTTTATAAAGTGCCTAGTACAAAGTAGGTGGGTAATAAACATTTATTATTATCATATTATTTCATTATCATTGTCATCATAAACTTAATCATCATCCACCCCACTAATTTTGCAGGTGGAAAAAAAAACCCTGAGGTCCAGAGAAATAAGATGTTTTACTCACAATGACATGATTAATTCTTGGAAAAATTGAGATTGGAATTCATGATTTCTAGCTCAGAGTTCTTTCAGAACATAAGGCTGAATTTTTATTGTCCTCAAAATAGTTTAGAACTTGTTGTTTTTAAACTAAATCTTTACTATCTGCTTATTTATTTGTCATGGCTTTTTTTACTGATAAAATATAGGGCACAGAGTAAGAAAGGATATCAGGTTGTTTCAGTTTTGAGGATTTCAGATATACTTCAATTTCCTATATTATTTTGTTATTATTCTACTTGGATAAAAAGCATCTGAAAGCCACTTTTCAAAGAAAAAACATTCTCTATTTTGAATCAGAATGCTACATTCATGCACATACATTTAGCTTTGGAAGTATAGATTCAATGCTCTATTTCCTTTTGACAGTGGAAAGTTGACCTGCATTGATAAAGTAAAACACTTCAAATTTTATATTTTTTTAATGTGGAACAATTTTCAAACTATATATATTAAATGAAAAAAGCAAGATGCATAAGAAGGAATATACTATGCTTCCTTTGGTATAACATTTTTAAAAATATACATATGTGTATATTTACAAATATACACAACTTCTTTCAAATGCATAGAGCAAAAATCTTTTAAGGGTGACTGCCCCTGGGAAGAGGAACTGAGAGACAAGAGGGTTAGGATAGAGAGGTTTTTTTTTTTTTTACCACTGTATATATTTTTATTCTCTTTTTATATTCTTTTTGTACTTTTTATGCTTTGGAATTTTTAATATGTATACAAATTATCTTTTTAAGTATAAAAAATTATTTTGAAAGAAAGAAAAATACATAAACATATTTTACAAATAAAAACTACCTTGGTAGTAATTGATAATAAAGGTCATAGAATCTGTTCTTAGAATCATTTTCTCCAGGGTCTTTTCAAATATGACTCACTTTATATGCTAGCACTAAGGTCTCTACAGTTTAGAAGTCAGACTGTGTACTATCAGCCACTTATGTACAAATTGTAAGGGTTAATGTATTTCTGTTCTTTTATGTTACAAAATACCTTCATACACTGGATTAGAATAAAGTCAGAGTGACAGGCTGAGAAAACCTTCACCCAGCAGGGAACTTGTACACTACTGAAATAGAATTCCTCCTTAAAAAAAAATTAATGTGTTCTTTAAAAGGCAAGTTAGGAAACACTTTGGAGGACATATCAATATAGGACAATAAACAAAACAAAACTCATTTCTCAATCATCTTCCTTTATTAATATATCAGTTGACTCTTGAATAGAATGCTGACAGTCGCTCCATCTGGGGAGTCTTGTGGTTTCCTTGAGCCTTTCTGGCCTCTGAATCACTCATTAGTATCACTGAAGTCTTAGCAGATTTTCAGCTTCAATTCTCACACCTGACTACTAAAATTATTGTTCTAAAGCATGCTATTCATACATTACTCATACTTTTGAAGTGTACCACAAGCTGGATTTTTAATGTACAAAAGATCAAACATTTATGATTTGTCATATATTTTGTCTTCTTTGATAGAGAAAAAATATGTACAGAATACAGTTCATACGAACTACATAATTATCTTGCAACTGGCACCAACTTACCACCTTTTCATGACAAAGATCTCTTTTTTAGGCAGGTCTTATCTCCTAAGAGCTAGTCCTATTTGAACTAGTCTCATGTAACAACCATTTCATCCAGACTCTAGCTTTATCGAGCTTGTCTTACTGCATCTCTATCACTGAGGAAACTCAACTAGGTCAAGGCAGTTGTAGTTTGTTCCATATGCATGGTTCCTTTTACCTTGGGTAATCTCTCATGGCAGTCCCCAAACTCTCAAATCATTTAAGTCACTAATAAAAAAAGTGGATGTAAAAAGGTAAATATTCAAATTAATAGTAAGTAACTGTAGTGTTCCTTTAAAGGAGTTCTTTAATTGTTCCATATGTATAGCAATAATAATGTACAGGATATTCAGTCTTTTCCTCTAGGAATGAAGATTTAGAAAAGTATCCTTTTGAGACAAGAAATTAGAAGAGCGGGGCGCCTGGGTGGCTCAATCGTTGAGCGTCTGCCTTCGGCCCAGGTCATGATCCCAGGGTCCTGGGATTGAGCCCCACATCGGGCTCCCTGCTCGGCGGGAAGCCTGCTACTCCCTCTCCCACTCCCCCTGCTTGTGTTCCCTCTCTCGCTGTGTTTCTCTCTGTCAAATAAATAAATAAAATCTTAAAAAAAAAAAAAAAAAAAAAGAAATTAGAAGAGCATGATATGATATGTCTCAAACATTTCTTTAAAATGTATCAAACATTGTTTTGTCAGTCCAGTTGGATAAAGGACAGATGTTATAATTTGATAGCTTGAGGAAAATGCCCCTTGAAGAACTGACATATTTGATAAAATTTTTCTATTTTGTATCATAATATCCAGAAATATTCTATTGTTCTTCTGAAAGATATGTGTTCAATACATACCAAACTCTCTAATATATCCAACTTTCTAAGCAGACCAGAGTCTTAAAGGTTTGGATTTTTATAATTCTGAGAGTTTATAATTTCAGATATACTTCAATTTCCTATATTATTTTGTTATTATTCTACTTGGATAAAAAGCATCTGAAAGCCACTTTTCAAAGAAAAAACATTCTCTATTTTGAATCAGAATGCTACATTCATGCACATACATTTAGCTTTGGAAGTATAAATTCAATGCTCTATTTCCTTTTGACAGTGGAAAGTAATTAGATAGCTTGAGGAAAATGCCCCTTTTTATTTTATTTTATTTTATTTTATTTTTAATGGGCATCAAATAAGTAATAATGTATTAGTTCCTATGAATCTGATAACAACTGCCCATAAATGTTCATAAAAGTAAGATGTGTTCTCGTGCCAAGAAAAGTAAAAAGAATTTAGTATATTTTAATGTTTCATTTGTATATGAGAAAAATGATTTTGTGATAAAAATTCATTTGATATTATTTAACTGCCTTTATTTAATATAGGTTAAATTGTGTCCCCCCAACAAAAAGCATATGTTAGAGTCCTAATCCTTAGTACCTCAGAATGTGACCTTGTTTAGAAACAGGGGCAGCTCCTTCCTTTTTTTTTTTCTTGAAACAAGGCCTTTATAGAAGTAAGAAGTTAAAATGAGGTCATGAGGATGAGTCTTAATCAAATATGACTGGTGTCCTCATAAAAAGGGAAAATTTGGACACAGACAGACATGAACAGAGGGAAGATGATATGAAGACCTACAGGAAGGATGCCATGTGAAGATAAAGGATAAATGTTATGCATCTACAAACCAAAGAACACCTGAGACCACAAGAAATTAGGAGATAGTCATAGAAGAGCTCCTTCCCTAAAGGCTTCAAAGGGAGCATGGCCCTGCCAACATCGTGATTTCATACTTCTGGCCTACAGAACTGTGAGACAATAAATGTGTGTTGTTTTAAACCACCCAGATTGTGGTACTTTGTTACAGTAGTCCTAAGAAATTAATACACTATCTTACTTCAAGAATGTTCAAGAGACAAGTCCTAGGCTTTGTTTGGGCTGGACAGGCTTGTATCCACTGAGAAGATCAATGTGAAACTTCTGCTGGCTACAGTAACAACCCTGATTGTAGGTCTGGTAGCTCTACATGCTATGGAATTACCATTGCCATGCTACAGTTTTGAATGTTGTACTTGGTCTCTCAGCTGAATTGAATGAAATTTTTAAAATGTGACTTGAACTATAGTTTTCTAGACTTTTACAGTATATAGTATTTTACATACTTGCTCATACACACTGTTCATTTGAAAATTCATTTTATATATATATTTTTACATTTTTTCAAGTTTTTATTTAAATTCTAGTTAGTTAAGGTATAATATAATATTGGCTTCAGGAGTAGAATTTAGTGATTCATCACTTACATATAACAACCAAAGTTCATCACAAGTGCCCTCCTTAATACCCATCATCCATTTAGCCCATCCCCTGCCCACCTCCCCTCCATCAATCTTCATTTTGTTCTCTATAGTTAAGATTCTCTTATGGTTTGTCTCCCTCTCTTTTCCCCCCTTTCCCTACGTTCATCTGTTTTGTTTCTCAAAGTCCATAATTAAGGCAAAGTTATAATGTTTTAAATTTTAATTTGTGTGAGACCAGTTTAAAAGAAACATACGAAGCATTGGGATATCTGTATTAAATTCAGTTTCTACCATTAATTTTCTAGGTGATAACATATTTTTACTTGAGTTTCCCTTTCAGTAAAAAAGGGATAACACTTCACATGGGAGAATGAATATGAAAGTGTTAAGGATGATATGAAGGGCTGTAGACATAATAAGGTATTATTATGACTCATAGTGGCCTTGCTTGGCACTTGACAATTGAGTGTCATCTTAACTCTATTAAAATACTGGTAATTCAGAAGTATACACTTAATAAGCTTTAAAACAAATTTTACATACCTGATCCGTATTTAGCTTCTCTACTTTTCTTATTGTTTTTTCATAAATAACATTGTTTCCTGGGAAGAAATGGCCTCCTCTTAGGAATGGAGAAAGTGGTTCCTATAAAGACAATAATGACTGCGTTTTGTTTTGAAAGGTACCGTTTCAGAGGAACCTCAACTTAAGCAAAAATCTAGTCTCTAATAAACTCTGAGTTAGTAGCATACTAGGAGAATGGAATGACATCCCAATAAGGTTTTGAGAGATGTAAGGAAATAGTAAAAAGATAGTCCATTTTCTCAAACAGAGCAATCTGGATCTCTCCTACTACCTTTTACTAGGCCTAACAAAGTGTTTTAGGGGAAATTGGAAGGGGCTGAGAAAGATAATTTTTTTTTCCTGTTCTTAAGGCAAGATATAGGGAGTTTCCGCTGAGGTAGACAGGCATGAGGTCAACTTCATTTAAATTGAGTTCACTGGCGGGTTTCTTTCTATGCAAAAGTATTACTGGAGAAATGCAAAATAAACAATTCATCACTGAGCTCTAAAGTAGGTAAAACTATATTAAAGATATTTTTTTCCTGGAACTTAGCTTTGGTGTCCTTGAAGTGTACAATTCTTACTTGTGATTATAATCAAAGCTAAGTCTGTCTGTACAACATATGTTTTGAATACTGAGAACAGAGTGGAGTCTTTAAGCGCTACTGTATCCCCATATAATCAACTAAGTTGATGTAGCATTATCCAAGTGCTTAAAAGATATCAACCAATGAAATAAAGGCTGGTGACATGTCCAAGATCTGAACGAGATCAAGGAAAGACTAATAAGGATCAGATCAAGAGTTTAAAATGAATGCAATATTACTATATTTCTTTCCCTTCTTTTTTTGTTTTCATATGAGTCTACTTATATGGAGGGAGTTGAGGTTGTTTTGTTACAAAGAAAAATTGCATTCATTTATTTTTGTAATATAGGGGAACAGTATAGAAGGGGATTGGCCAAGCCTCCTACCAGTTAATGTATTTAAGACCATTTCAAAATCAAAATATGCTAGCATTTTTGTCATCTGCTATTGTAAAATCTCTTTAAAAACAACTGGATGAAAACACTGTTGAGAATGCAAAACACTCTGAAATCCAAAGCTATATACTTCTTGTATTCAAGATTGAATAAAGGGTGCTTTAACTAAATGTTCCTGGAATATTTTGGTGAAACAAATGTGCAAGTGATTAAATTTGGCTAGCTGATGAATTGTTAGATCTAAAGGTGGATATATTTAGAAAGATTCCTCTGGAATCTTTTGTGTCTGTTTGTCTTAGTGAAAAAAAAAAGCCTTTTTGGTAGTTATTTGCAGTCATATAACACATGTTTAAGAGCTTACTATGCACAATACACTTTGCTAAGTTTTTTAAAGCATTTTACTGAGATATTTAATATTTACAATTATGTATAAATCTAGCAGTGCAATAGCTTCAAACTGTAACAATATAGTCATCATATCTATTTAATGTCAACATAACCAACATCAATATACTTTAGCTTACTGCATGTTACTGGTGATAGTAAAGATTAAAATTATAAAAGGTGACATGACTGAAATATGCACATTTATGTAAATGTAGACTACATATCAATGATCTGTTGTAAAAAATGGCTACACTTTCTTACTAAAAAAAAAAATCTCTTCCTCATTTTCCACTTTGTTACATTGAAATTCTTTTTTTTATTATGTTCAATTAGCCAACATATAGTACATCATAAGCTTTTGTTGTAGTGTTCAACAATTCATTAGTTGCGTATAACACCCAGTATTCAGTTTGTAAGGCATGAATCACACTTAGATTATTACAAGGAAGACTGAATATTGGTCAGTATTCATCAAACTATAGCCAAAAGCCTATTTTTGTAATGTCCTCGAGCTAAGAATGATATTTAGATTTTTAAAGGACTGTAAGTACACAGAAGGCCAAAACCCTATGGTGAGAGCAAAACCTAAAATATTTACTATATTGCCTTTTATGGGAAAATTTTGCTGATCCCTGGTCTAGATAATATATGAACATAAACATCTATAATACAAAGTAGAAAGAAGCAAGTGCCTATAAGAGGTTCAGAGAAATGACTTATGGGATGGAATTCAGAAGAGGAAAAATTGAATTCCATCTGGCAGTGCTCAGGTAGGTTACTTTAATCAGGTGGCATTTGAGAAAAGGTTAAGGTGGGCTTTGCATATGAGGAGATGGAAGAAAATGGTATTCCAAACAAAGTAAATAAAATAAGTCATGAAACCAAGACTGTAGAAGTATAAGATATATGTAAGGGACACAGATGGCAGACAGAAGTTCGGTTCTGAAAGCAGTGAGAAGTCCTTGAATGCTTTTAAATAGGGATGTGAGGTGAACATAAATCTACTTCAGGAAGATTTGTTGCAGAAAGGAAAGAGTACAGGTTAGAAGACCAGTAAAGAGATTATCCTAAATCATCAAGGACAGTACTTTCCAAAGATTAAGACCTTAAATCTGAGAAATCTACTACATAACCAATGGTGCCAAAAACAAAAACAAGAAAAGTTGAGACACATTGAATTTTATGTGCTCCTGGTAAAAACCTAGGTCTGATTCACGTTTTTATTCCTCATAACATTTAATAAATATATAGTTCATAGTTATCCCTTAAATATGTGTTAAATTATTGCAAAGAATTAGCAAAGAGACTTTTATCAAAATGTTCAGGAAGGCATTCAAGTTATAGATGTCCAGTACACAGGTGAGTAGAGATTTCATGGCTACAGTTCTAGTTCTAGATTTCAGAATAATATGTTTAGAAGATCTTGTTAAAATCATGCAATTGCTGAAAAGGCAAGTGAAGATCAAAGACATAACTAATAAGTCTTAAGAGATATGAGAATCAGGAGGGAATAATGAAAAAAATCAAAAGAAGAAAAATTTTCATAAAGCAGTGGAAAGGTGACAGTATAAATGCTTCAGATGTCAACAGGTGAGAATTCCAAAGCGGATTGGTTTCAGACTACTACAGATCCATTGGATCTGACTACTAAAATTAGTGGAAGAAGGTGTAATGGAAAAAAATTCTGGAGTCATAAAACCTGTATTCAGTTCTGCCTCTATCACCTACTTGCTGTGGAAATGTAGGAAAGTCATTTACCTTCTCTGAGGCTTAGTTTTCTTATCACAGAGATAGTAATGCAGAATACTTTATATCAAGTAAAATAATGTATTTTAAAGTACCTTTAATCTGTGATTTCAATGTACAAATGATATTGGTGTTTAATAATATAGTAATATAATATTTTAAGTCCATACTGCATTTAAAAAGTTAATGAGAACCTTGTTAGAATTATTCTAAGATATCAAGGTAAAGTATATACAAAAATAGGCTTATTGAAGGCAGGAACTGTATCCATCTTGAATACCCCATAGTGAATGAACAGATGACTGGATGAGAAGAGATGATATGAATGTTTAACCTAAGGATATAAACACCTTCTAACAGGGGAAAACAAAGTTAGCAAAAGAAAATTTCTCTTTTTTCACTATAAATGATGAACCATTATTATTTTTAAGAAGAAAAATGGTTTGGGTCCTAACAGTGTTGATTCTCTCTAAAATGTGTGTTGGACTTATTATTTTAAATGACTTACTGAAAAAAAAGAACTTCCAAATTTAGGGGACTATTATTTTCCACAAAATGTTTAAAAAGGTAAAACCAAATTTTACTATATTTGAATAAATCATTCTTAGTAAAACAGATCAGGAAAGTAAATTTAATTAGAAGTCTTAGATTTTTCACAAATGAGCTGTTAGCTTTACTATTTTGGCAGCTTATTTTTTTTATCTGTACATTTGAATTGGTGCCAGATCCACCCTAAAAATTAATAGGTATCTTCAAAGATGGCTGATTTTATCATTCTAATTGTTACTTTTAGAACCTCTGGCAGTAGTTCTCACATCTAACAAAATACATAATCCCCAGTGTCTACTTTGTTGTTCCCAGGCCATGAAACCTTGCTGGAGAAAGTTAAGAAAATATTTGCTGATTTGGTTCAGTACAACTTTAAGTTATCTTACTTTAAGAGCCTCTCTAACCTTCATGGTCACAGTTGTATTTATCGAATTCTCTATAACTGTGGTTACAATTTTTTTTCAATTTCCTCAATCCCCTATCCTCACATTCTCTCATTCTCCTTCTTCTTCTTGAGAAAACCAAGATCTATTCAATGAGATTCCTTCGTTTTCCTCCCTACCTCAAAAATCTCTCTTCAATTTCTGCTCCTACCATCTCATTACCAAGAAAGACAAACTCCTCTTTTTATGTTGAAGTCACTTCTCTATACCTGGAATCCTATCCCCTCTTGTCTCTTCCAGAATCATGTCCCATTTGTCCCCTTTCTCTGTGGCATCTTTAGTCTTACTACTGGTTCTTTTTCCTCTGTCTATAAATCTCTTAGATCTCCAAGATTCTGTTTTCTCCCTTAGCTACTATCCCATCTTTCCTTCTTTTGACCAATATCCTTCTTAGAAGGGTAATTCTCATTTATTTCCTCCATTTCTTGATCTATTCACCCATTAACTTTACACATCTGGGTTTTGATTCCACAAGTATAAGGAAACTCTCAAATATCACCATTACATAATGGTTTAACTCTCTATTCTCAAACCTCATCCTCATCCTCTTTGGCCTTTTGGTTATTTGGGACAGTTGACCACCCTCTTTCTCTATTTGCTTCAGTTACTCTGTGTTCACATTTCTTTCTGACAATTCCTCTGCCCATGAAAGTGGCTCCTTTCTGTTTCCTTAAGTTAGGCATTTCACAAAGTTCTGTACCCCATCAGTTTTCTCATTCATTCTCACAGCTACAATGACAACTTTCAAAGGAATAACTCCCATGTCTCTATCTCAAATGTGACCTTTCTCCAGGTTATTATTTTTTTTATTAATTTCCACACCCAGAATGGAGCCCAATGTGGGGCTTGAACTCATGACCCTGAGATCAAGATCTGAGCTGAGATCAAGAGTCAGACACTCAACCAACTGAGCCACCTAGTCACCCCCTCAAGGTCATTTTTTTTTAAAGATTTCCTTTTTTTTTTTTTTCTCGAGAGAGAGCATGGGCATGTGGAGGGGCAGAGGGAGAGGGAGAGAGAGAATCCTGAAACAGACTCCCTGCTGAGCATGGAGCCTGACAGGGGCTCAATCCCAGGACCCCGAAATCATAACCTGAGCCAAAATTAAGAGTTGGCCACTTAACCAAGTGAGCCACCCAGGTCCTCCCTCCAGGTCATTTTTAACTGTCCATATGGTCATCTTCCCTTCCATGCACTTCCAACAACACTACTCGTTCAAACAGATCTCATGATCTACCCCTTTCCAAATGAACTTCTGCTCCCCCTCACTTCTTAATTGGGCTACCATACTCTCAGTATCTCAAACTGAGCTTAGGGTCATATTTGACTTTTTTTCTTAGATTTATTTTTATTTATTTGAGAGAGAGAGAGAAAGTATGAGTGGGGGTAGAGGCAGAGGGAGAAGGAGAGAAAGAATCCTCAAGCACACTCTCCGCTGAGAGTGGAGCCTGATGTGGGGCTCTATCTTAGGACCCTGAGATCATGACCTGAGCCCAAATCAAGAGTCAGCCACTTAACTGACTAGCCACCCAGGTGTCCCACTTTTCTTCTTCTTTTAACTCTATATTCAACATAAGTTATCAAATCTTATCAAAACTACCCCCAGAATAACTGTCAGAAAAGACAGTAATAGATTTAGAGTCAGAAGACTTGAGCAAGTCACACTTATTTAACCTTCAGTTTCCTCATTAGTAAAATGATGCTAACAACAATGTTAACTGTAATAATACCTTAAATACCACAATAAATCCTTCTCTGATTCCCCCAAACAAATGTGTTATCTCCAACCCCTGGAACTTCAATAAGACTTCATCTGTAATTTTCTCGTGTCATCTATCATACACCCCACCATATATTTTACATAGCTATTTGTGGACATATCTTATTTCCCTTGCCAAGAGAAACTGTAAACTCTTTTGTATGGGAGCCATGTCTTGTTTCCTTCCCCCCACATATGAAAGCTGTACAGTTCCATCCCCATAGCAGGAGCTCCACAACTAGAAAATTAATAAAACTGATTAATAGCAATTGGATTCTATCTACTGATGGAACAAAAATATTTTCTTCATTTCTAGGTCAAGTTATATACCAGAATGCATAAATGCTTTGACTAAAATGACAAAAAATGGAGAATAAAGAAGATCACAAACAACCAAAAATTTAAAAAAGGCTGAACAGAAGTGGAAGGAAATCAAAAAAAAAAAAAAATCATACTTCTCTTCATAAAGAGAAGTAGATTGAGATCAGTTTAATTACAGGGAGAAGGGAAGATTAGATAAGCTGGGAGGTGAAAGAGGATAAAGGTGCCATTTAGGAGGCTCAGCGTGTTATAAATATTGTAATTAAGCCAGAATCTTCTCCTGGGGGGATTTAAAAGAACAAACAAAAATACACATACTTAGATAAATAAAATGGGGAATATATCTAAATAGGATTTTCAAGCTGCTCTGCAAAACCAGTTAGATCATTTTTGTTTACAAAGCACAGGGGCAGAAATTTGTTTTATTCTTCAATAATAGAAAGAGTTAAAAGCTTTCAAATAATCATTACCCCCTGCTGGGGGTTTTCCCTAAGACACTATTTGCTTCTTTGCAGTTGAACACAGCCATAATAATAAGCCTTTACATGAGCAGGCTCAGTGTTACAAATATGTTATGTATTTCCATACATACTTCTAATTTCTCTGCTTTTGTATTACACTGTCGCAGGGGATGATGGGGGGAAGTCGGTATGTAGATGAGTCTCTGGATCCTAATTCACCTACATCCTCAATTGTCCTTAATTTGCAAATGTATCTTTCCATATGGGCATTGTTCAGTTTCTGTTCCCACTCTGTTACTTTGTAACTGAATGGTTTGAGGATAGTTAAAAGCTTAAGTTTCAAGAAGATTGGGACTTTTGTTTTGTTCAGTACCTTATCCCCAGTTCTTGGAGCAATTTTTGGTACATAGTAGACAATTGATAAATTTTCATTGAATAAATAACTGAACTTCTTTGTGCTTCTATTTTCTCACCTTTTTAGGATTAAATGGGATAAAATATGTAAATTTCCTAGCATGGAGCATATATCCAAAAAACATTAATTCTTCCTTTTGTCTATTAACTTAAGACTAAGAGTTTATCCAAAGTCACATAAGAATAACTGGCAAAGAGGGTTGGAATCCAAATTATTTGATATTTAAAAATTACTCTGTGAATATATCCTAGGTAAACACAGCAATCCTCACATTATGAGAAACAAAAGTGCTATCTAGAAGAACTAATTCTTTGAAAGCCAGGGATATCAAGTGTAATATGCATCCCAGTAAACATATTCCCCAGTTTGTATGTGAAAGAAAGAAAAAGGAGAAAGAGGGAAGAAGAAGGGGAAAGGGGAAAGTGGCCATGTCATAGAAAAATGCACACTCTCATCTCCCAAGCTCTTTATGTTTCCCTTCCCCAACACGCTTTTGAGATTTGTTGTTTAAACATTTGATTCTGCAAAAGAAGGCACAAGCAACTGCTTTATTGTAATCACATTCTCTTTTGATATTTACAATAGGTACATGAAAACTGAAGCAAATGTTCAAAATAATCATACCCCCACCACAGAGCTTGCAAACAGATATGTTCGCACATGCACACATACACAACTAACTGCCTTTGTAGCTGAAGAGACATGAGAAAATGATTTTAAAATAACAAAGAAAGAAGAGAGGAGGACAGATAACAGAAAAACAGTGTACTCCCCACCCATGCACCTAGAGTAGTATCAAATGTGTTACCCTAATTTAATCCTTTGCTTTCCAGAGCTGAAGCAAATAATTGATTTTATTTTGTGAGAGATGGGAGGATTCTTTCCTGCAATTATGGAGAAATAAAATAAAGAGCAACACAAAGAATTGCTGTATTATTATCTCTGGCACACTGTTTCTATTTGTGAAACTTTGTCCTTATAACCCCATTGAACCTCCTGTTGCCCCTAAAGAAGGGCTGTAGATGGTTTTGTGTGTGTGTTGAGGAAGGCTTTTTACTGTGGGAAAAAGTTTTCTTAATTTTCTCCTCAAAATGAAAGAGAGAATAATATACTAGTTTGTAAAATATAAGGTTGTATGTCTTAGTAGAAAATATAACTATAATTTTCAAAAGAGCTCATTGTTAGGCACAAAAGTTCACAGCATAGGCAATAAAGGCATGGAGACACTTATGAACTTTTGATTTTTCATTTTCTTCTTCCTAGCCCATATCTCAATAGCAAATCTAAATAAACTAAGGACTCCAATCCCTGATCTAACAGCTGATAGCTTTTATGTGAAGTCTGAAAGAACTTTGTCCCTTTTTCCTTTGGTTCAAAGGGTGCAAATTCCTATCCTTTGTAGTACAAAGGTGGTGCTATAGAAGTAGAAAGATTTTATAACCTAAGAATTTCTATGCTGTTTGGAAGTGTTGCATCACTAAATCAGAATATATGGGCACATAGTTGTCCGGAATTAAAAATGACTTTTTAAATAGTGATTCGAAGGGGTACATGCACCCCAATGTTTATAGCAGCAATGTCCACAATAACCAAACTATGAAAGAACCCAGAAGTCCATTGACAGATGAATGGATAAAGAAGATGTGGTACATATATGCAATGGAATATTACTCAGCCATAAAAAAAGAGTGAAATCTTGCCATTTGCAATGATGTGGGTGGAGCTAGAGAGTATTATGCTAAGGGAAATAAGTCAGTCAGAGAAAGACAAATACCATATGACTTCACTCATATGTGGAATTTAAGAAACAAAGCAGATGAGCATAGGGGAAAGGAAGGAAAAATAAAATAAGATAAAAACAGAGAGGGAGGCAAACCATTAGAGACTTGTCACTCTAAGAAACAAACTGAGAGTTGCTGGAGGGGAAGGGGGTAGTAGAAGGGGTAATTGGGTGATGGGCACTAAGGAGGGCACTTGATGCAATGAGCACCAGGTGTTATGCAACTGATGAATCACTAAAAAAATTAAAAATAAAAAAATAAAATCTTTAAAAATATTTAAAAAATGACTTTTTTATACTAATAATTAGAAATTAACTTTATAACCAGAAGAAACCCCCAATGATCTGATTTTAGGGATCTGGTAACTGACTCACACTTCTCATTTAAGCTATCAACTTCTAAGTAATTATAGGTTGAGACAAGAGTTTGTGTGATATAGCTTACCTGTTCAGGATTTTGTACTATGTATCTCCTAATAGTAGTCTGTGGATATGCAGTGACTTTCACTGTTGGAGAATGGAGTTCCTGTAAAGAAAGATAAAAGCTGCATATAATTATAGTTACTTAGTGACCTTGAAGCCATTAATAATAATAGGGAGGAATTTTCAGAGTGAAATTTTAAGTCATTTGCATAAATGATGACATATGAATTTGTGGTTTTAGTTAATTTTAGTATTAGAAACATATGAAAACATGTGCTTATGTGTTCAGCACTGTGCCAGGTATTTCTATTAAATACTCATTTCATGGTAATTCATCACACATTCCAAGCTATAGTTGATGAGAGTTTCAACATATTCATTGCATTGTAATGCCCCCACAATATTAGAAGAAAATATAGCTTAATATTTATTATCTCATATTTTAAAAAATATAAGGCAACACAGAAAAATTTGTGTTTGTGTATGTGTGTGTGTGTACTTAAACATTTACTACTTCAGTGTGATGGTGGGAGAGGGCCATAAATAACATTAAAATGGAGACAAAACACTAGAATAAATTCATTTGTAAACTTTTGATGGAAAAAGAGTCAATATCATTAATATAGAGTTTTTATACCTCAATAAGAAAAAAAATCATTCTAATAGAAAAATGAGCAAATGGCATGAACATTTATAAAAGAAGAAAAACAAATGGTTAATAAACAGCAAGAAGTATTCAACCAAACTAAGAATCAAATGAACATAACAAAAGTACTATATTTTAGCTGGAAAAAAATTTTAAATAATAATACTGATGAAGGTACACTAAGAAGACCACTTTCCTATGGAGAGGGTAAAGATTAAATAATCATCCATAGGCTGAAATATGTAGCTACTAAAATAATGATCTTGAGTAACACAAATTTACATGAAAAAAGCTCATAATATTATATAAGATTAAGTGAGAAATGAAGATATAAAACTGCATATATGATACGATCTCAATTCTTTATTTGAATGGAAGAAAACATAAAATGCTAATAATACTATCTGTGGGTAAGGGAAGGAATCATGAGTGATTTTTATTTCTTCTTCTCTACATTTTTTATGGTTCCAAAATTCTCTACAATAAACATACTTGTATTATCAGAAATAAAACATGGTAAACCCAATTTTAAAGGCTTCATTATGAAAAATAGCAGCTAATGCAATTTGCTGCCTGGATTTGAATGTAGTGAATAGCTCTGTGATTTAGTGGACTTACTTTTCTGGGGTAATCCTATCTTGATGGTCCTGTAGGGCTCTATTTCTATCTTTGTTGTAGCCTTTATCCCACTGTCTTATGTTTTGCTGTGTATGTGACCCATGCTAGCCTGTGAACTCTTTGAGAATAGTAATTGTGTCTAATACATCTTTATACAATATTTGATACATAGTCAGCACTCAGCAAACGTTTGCTAAATAAATGCATGACCCTAGGGGAGTCTGGGTGGCTCCGTGGCTTAAGTGACCGACTTGATTTCGGCTCAGGTCATGATCTCAGGGTCCTGGGATCAAGCCCCACATAGGGCTCCGTGCTCAGCGGGGAGTCTGCTTCTCTCTCTCCCCCACTCCCTGTCCCCTACCCACTCCTGCTCTCTCTCTCTCTAAAATAATAAAATATATATTTTAAACAAATATTTAAAAAATTAAATGCATTACTCTAACTGACTTAGTTCTAGGCTATGTTAAATTGGGAAATGGTAGACAAACTTTTGATAATCTTATTTGTTTTTCATAAGATCACCTTTTCCTGGGCGCCTGGGTGGCTCAGTTGGTTAAGCGACTGCCTTCGGCTCAAGTCATGATCCTGGAGTCCCGGGATCGAGTCCCACATCCGGCTTCCTGCTCAGCGGGGAGTCTGCTTCTCCCTCTGACCCTCTTCCCTCTTGTGCTTTCTATCTCTCATTCTCTCTCTCTCTCAAATAAATAAATAAAAAAAATCTTAAAAAAAAAAATCACCTTTTCCTTATTACCAAAGTCTAGAGACCAGCTTTTGTCCCTTTGTTTCCTTACTGTTCAAGCTCATACCCTGACACCTCATCTGGGCAGGACTTCTTTCTTAGAACACCATCTTCCTCCCTCCTAGCCTTCAAATCCCAAATCCTTTATACTCCCCTCCCATGTAGTAACTAACTTAGGATATTTTTTATTTTTTTTTTATTTTTTTTTAAAGATTTTTTTTATTTATTCATTTGAGAGAGAGAATGAGATAGAGAGAGAGCATGAGAGGGGAGAGGGTCAGAGGGAGAAGCAGACTCCCTGCTGAGCAGGGAGCTCGATCCTGGGACTCCAGGATCATGACCTGAGCCGAAGGCAGTCGCTTAACCAACTGAGCCACCCAGGCGCCCCGAATATTTTTTATTTTTTTTTTCTTAGGATTCACTTTTCAATGAATGGTGACTAGCTCATTAAACATATATTTGTTAATATGGTATTTAATTATTATTATAGGTATCTTTTGGAGATATAATGCCTAGACTCCAGGGTAATCTTAAACGTGGCATTATTAGATTGTAAAGGCTAAGGGAACTAGATTTTTGCCTGTATTTCAAATTACGTACCTTTGAGAAGGGCTAGTTCTGACCCTATAAGCTATTCTCTCTGAATGTAAACTTACAGTACTATCCCTCACAAAGTCAGGTCCTTGTTCAATCCAAGATCTAAGTACTTTATTTGTGCTAAAATCAAGGACCCTAAAATATATATAATTACTAGGAGATCCTTGACTAAAAATAAACTACACTCAAACTAAAAGCAATCAGATTGAATTAGACAATGAAACTGAAAAATCTCCATTCATAGCATTTGTTTCAGCACTTGTTCCACGTTCCTTTAATGGGCTGAGCTGATTACCATATGCGAGACTCCCCTTTCTAGTTTTGTGTTCCTGACATTTTGTAAATGTGTAAAGCCTTAGGAGGACTTAAAGATTACTTAAACATATGAGCAAGGTTTACATAAAAAGAAAAAATCTAACCTAATCCATAACTTCTTTTACCTGTTCAGTATTTGGGGTTATATGTACACTGCTTGGGGGACAAGTAGATATTTTCAGAGTTGGAGAATGGAGTTCCTGTTGAGAAAAAAGAGGGGGTGTTCAGAAATGGTTACTAAGCAGTGTCATTTGAATGTCTTACTTTCTTTAGGTATTATTTCCTTTAATTTTATAATAACCCAGTTTGTCAGAAGAACTTTATTTAGTGTTTTCTTAGATAATATCCAAAGAGCACATTACTGAATTCCTTTGTCAGCTTTGCTAGTAAACTAATGATAAACTAATTTCTAGAATACTTTCATACCAACACATTCTTCTTGTACTTCTAGGTTACATCCTTCTTTTCTTTTTGAGATCTCTGCTAATATACATCCCAATGTTATTATATGTCTGCAATTTAACAAGATGCAAAATTTATCAACACAAAATCATAAAATACAAAAATTTTCTAACCATGGGTATTAAGGAGGGCATGTATTGCATGGAGCACTGGGTGTTATACACAAACAATGTACTACATCAAAAACTAATGATGTACTGTATGGTGACTAACATAACATATTAAAAAAAAAACAAAAACAAAGAAAACTCAACTGAGTCTACTGCCCTGAAAATGCAAATCAAAAGTACAATGAGATCTTACCTCACACTTGTCAGAATGACCAAAATCAAAAACACAAGAAACAACATGTTGTGGAGGATGTGGAGAAAGGGTAACCCTCTTACACTGTTGGTGGAAATGCAAACTGGTATGGCTACTCTGGAAAACAGTATGGAGGTTCCTCAAAAAGTTAAAAATAGAAATACCCAATGATCCAGCAATCAATTGCGCTACTGGATATTTACCCAAAAAGTACAAAAATACTAATTCAAAGAGATAGATGCACCCTTATTTTTATAGCAGCATTATTTACAATCACCAAGCTCTGGAAGCAACCCAGGTGCCCATTGATTGATGAATGAATAAAGAAGATGTGGTATGTATACACAATGGAGTATTATTCAACCATAAAAAGAACGAAATCTTGTCATTTGCAACAACATGAATGGAGCTAAAAAGTATAACGCTAAGTGAAATAAAGTCAATCAGAGAAAGGCAAGTACCATATGATTTCATTATGTGAAATGTAAGAAACAAAATAAATGAGCAAAGGGCGGGGAGACAGAGACAAACCAAGAAAGAGCCTCTTCATGATAGAGAACAAACTAATGGTTACCAGAGGGAAGGTAGGTGGGGGAATGGGTTAAATAGGTGATGGGCATTAAGGAGTGCGCTTGTTGGGGCCTGGGTGGCTCAGTTGTTAAGTGTCTGCCTTCCGCTCATGTCATGGTCCCAGGGTCCTGGGATCGAGCCCTGCATCCGGCTCCCTGCTCGGTGGGGAGCCTGCTTCTCCCTCTCCCACTCCCCCTGCTTGTGTTTCCTCTCTCGCTGTGTCTCTCTCTGTCAGGTAAATAAATAAAATCTTAAAAAAAAAAAAAGGAGTGCGCTTGTGATGAGCACTGGGAGATGTATGGAATTGTTGAATCACTATATTGTACTAATATAGTAAACTAATGAAACTAATATAACCCTGTATGTTAACAAACTGGAATTAAAATAAAAACTTAAAAAAAGACTACTGCTCTGAGATTACTTCAGTCTGACTTTTAATTATGGTTTGCCTGATCTGCTTCTAGTTAAATTTCAGAGAGTAGGCTCTGATGTTAAAAGAAAATGGTCTATAAAAGTGAGAGTATGATTTTTAATAATGATTAGATAAGTCACTTTATTGATTATGCTGACATTCTTTACATTTTTTCCCAAATCAGCAAAACTGTGTAGCTTCATTGGTGTGCAAATAGTTGATAGTATTATTCAATCTCTTCATACATTACTGTAATTTACAACCAATTGACAGAACTCCACGATATATTTCCACAACAATAAAAATAATTCTTTTTTTAGAACAAGGACGCTATTGAAAATCAGAATCACAGACTTACAAGGGAAACACTGGCAGACTCATGGAAGTATAGCTATAATATAGGTGTAATGTGCTGTTCTTAAAACAAATTGCCAAATACTTCACATGCTGTGGTTTTTCTTTTGTTTTTCTTTTGGTTCAGCTTGTAACATTTTCATCCTCCCTTTCCCTGTTACATCAGCAGTAATACTGCAAGCTTAATATATCAAGGCAGCCTTTGAATATGTTCTCAGATATCCTGCTATAGCTGAGGAGAATTCCTCAGACAAATGCAGAGAATTAAAGATTGTAGGCCAAACAGGTATATGGTTTTCAGCTCAGGATGATGGTTATAAATACAACCAAGTGCAGGTGGATTTGGCCCACAGAGCCGAGAGGAGCAGGTTCAGAGAGGTAAGAAAATAAAAGGTGTTATTTAGTTATGCAATAGTACATGAATACATGTGAACATAAAAATGTATACAGATAAAGTCAAAGATCTTTCCTTAATCATTCTCCCTTTATCCAAATCCCTTACCCAGAAATAACCATTATTGTCTGGTGTATCTTTGCATAAATAGGTATGTACAAATAATAATATTTATTGCTTTTATTATTCTGCAGTGTAAGTCATTTTTTGTATTATAAGTTAGATATGTCTTAATTCATTATTTTAAATTAATACATAGTGTTCCATGATGTTTAATAACTTATATATCTCCCTAATGAGCAATGTTTAAATTGTTTTCAGTTTTCACTATGTTGCAATGAGCATCCTTGTGCATGTATTTCTATAAAATTTCACAAAGAAGTGGGATTGATAGTGCACAGATTATGTGCATTATTCATTTTAACAGATACTGCCAATTGATTTCCCAAATGGCTATGCCAATTACACATCCTCCAGCACTGTGTAAAAGTACTTATATCTGGAGGATGTTTTTCTGCAAACTTTTAGCCCTTTTAGGCTGGGACTAGTAATACTAGGATCATGTTGAGAAGACAATTTGTGCATACTACCTGCCACCTGGAAGGTGTTCTATAAACGGTAGTTCTTTCCTCCTCCTTTTAACCAATTAAAATCTGATGACATCAGCTAATTAAACAGAAACAAACTTAATAGCCAAGTAGACTAGCTTTTAAGATAAGAGAGTATACTGAGAAGTTTTATAAACTTGTAAAAATGAACCCAAGTAGGAATAAACACACACACATATACACACATCACACCTTTGGGACATTTATCTATAGTACTATAAGCAGGGTTACTTTATTCAGATGCCAAGATAGTAGATATTTTAAAGGCAAATTGGTGTATTTGTACAAAGACTTGTCTGGTCCTAAAATGAAAAAAATATTTAATCTTCTTATATTTGGAAAGCTAGTACATTAATTCCATAAATTATAATGTACATAATTGTTTTGAGGCTTCATTATTAGAATTGGTCTAGGCAAATGTAGCTTTTCCCATTAAACTCTCTTTTCTGCTACATCTATAGGTTGCCTCACTATATTTTCTGTTTTTCAAGTTGTTGAACATAATTCTACTGTTAGATTTGACTAGTTCTTATAATAGGAAGCTAGATATTTGCTTTTTTTATTATTTACTATCAAAAGTAACTTTTGAGTGCCTGAAAACAAGAGATCCTCCCAAAAGTGACTGCGTGAAAGAATAATCCTGATTAAATAATTTAAACTTCTAAAAATCCAATAGAGGTTATTTTGGTAGACTACATGATATATTTATGCAGTGTATTCACAGGACTCTAAACTCAATAAAACATTGAATTTTTCTTTAATACTCATATTCAATTTTGTAGGAAGGCCCTACTTCTTTTTTATTAAATATTTAGCATACTACTGAGTTGTTTATTTCTGTGGCTCACATTTGCTAAATACATAACTATTGTCTTGTTGGCAACTTTCTTTAGGTAGAATTATCATAAAAAATAATTTTGTTTATAATTAGGTGAGTTCAAGCTTAGTATAAAATCCAAGCTGCTTTTCCCACACTCCTTAAAGTAATGGTTTTCAACTTTGTAAAGTTGTATCAGCCCTCTTCCTCCTTTTCTCTTCCTCTTCCTTTTATAAAGTACATACGACATTACCAATTTTAATATCAGAGTGGATTAAAAGCAGTCTGCTTTTTGGGATAACTTCACTACATCACCTGAGATAATTGTCCATAGCTTGGTATACCCTAAATCAGAGCTGGGAAGCTCTAGTTGCCATAGAGAGAATTCATAAAACTACATCTTATTTCTGTTTGTTAAAAAGCTATGTTTCTCAGAATTAACAAATCATATGGAATGCAAATGGGTCCAATTTCTCAGTTACTTACCTTAGTGAGAGAGATTTCACGTAGCTCAGTGAAGGGCAGAAAGAAGGGAAAGCAGAAGCTGGAGAGGTGCTATTCTCCTTTAGGTAGAAGGAAAACCTTAAAAATTTAGGACATACTCTGAATTCCAGGATTATTTCAGGGCAAGACCTTGAAAATTAGAACAGAAACTGTTTTTGTTCTCTAATATATTTTTTATACTTTTCACTCTGATAATAGAATAACAGAATGGGGAAATTTATCAAATGATTTGCCATAAGGATTATCATCAAATGATTTGCTGAAGCCAAAAAATACAAACTTGTTTAAACTGAAAATACTTTAGTATTGAACTAGGGTTAATCAAGGGTGATAGCTGATATAGTGAAACTATCAAGAGCTGGTTTCTAAACCCAGGACATTCATTAACTAGCTGCTATAACTTGGACAGGTTATTTTGAGCTATTTGAGTCTCAGTTTCTTTATTTGTACAACAGAAAAATAATACACGATGCATATTTTATGTGCACACTGTAAAATTTATACAATGGATGTAATAATGTTTTTCTGCTTAATTTTTGAAATTTCAGTGGGTAAATAATATATGTAAAAGAATTTTGAAAAATAAAAAATATCATCTGTTAATATGAGGCATTATTTTTATTGGATCGGTTACATGTATAACTAAGTAATTTGTTCAATGTTATATAATGGTATTGGAAGAGATATAAAGCATAGATAGAATATACTCTTTACACTCACCAAGTTTATAATTATTAAGGAGGTAAAAATTATTAGTGTAAATAACAATAGAGTAT